TTTGCTATCTTCCAACTGGAGGGAGCAGCCCGTTCTTGGTGGAATGTAATAAGATTGAAATGGGAGAGAGAACAAACACCGAGCACTTGGGTGAATTTTTTGAGAGAGTTCAACACAAAGTACTTCCCACCTCTAATTCAAGAAAATAAAGAAGATGAGTTCATTAGGTTTCACCATGGAACTCAGACTGTTGCCGAATATGAGAGCCAGTTCACCAGGTTGTCTAAATTCGCTCTCGAGCTAATTGTAACTGAGCAAAGGAGGATAAGGCATTTTATCCAGGGCTTAAATGTGGAGATTCAGAAGGATCCGGCTGTAGCCCAACTGAGTGCCTTCAGTGTCGCGGTGGAAAAAGCTCAACGAGTTGAAAGCGCAAGGTTAAAAGTTAGAACCTTTCAGGCAAGGAAAAGAGCTATTCCTGAAAGTAACGTAGGACAAGAGGATACGAGCACACCTCCCAAGCTCAAAAAGGAAACTGGAGGGGTAAGATTTCCTGGAATGTCTAGTGGTGCTTGACAGAGAGGCTCGGGCTCTGCTTCCCATAGTCCCTGTGGGTACTGTGGAAAGCCGAATCACACGGAAGATGTCTGTTGGAAGAAAGGAAGAAAATGTTTATATTGCGGGAGTGCAGATCATCAAATCGCTAATTGCCCAGGCCGATCTTGAGAAGGGAGTGGGGATCGACAATCAACCAAGACCAACTCTAACCAGTCGAAGGGGGAAGGGACTGGACCGAAGGTGTCGGCTTTGGTGTATTCCCTAGAATCACATCAAGCCCCTGACCCGTCTGAGGACGTAGAAGGTGCGATCCTCCATTTACGTTAGATTTTGATAGATCCCGTTCATAAGAAAATTTCGAGGACGAAATTTCTTTAAGTAGGAGAGAGTATGAGGACCCGTAAATTTTCTTTATTTTATAATATTTTATTTCATTTTATCGCATGCATTTTCTTCATTTAACCCTATGATAGTGATTTTCCAGAGATTTTTGTAAGTGAGTATAGGTTTTACATCATTTTCATAGTATAAGTTAGTTCGTGATAAGTTTGAAGTGCGTTGTAGACGTCGGACCCGCTAGTGCGCTAAGTGAGATAAAATTTTGACGACTAGGTTAAGTTTCGTATTGAGGGATATTATTTTACAAGGTACTAGGGGATGATTAGAGGTTAGTTATCTAGGTTAAGCTTGGTAGACAAAGGGATAAGAATAAACTGAAGAAAGGCCAAGTGTCATGAAACCATTGGATGGAAATTTTGACCAAATTTCTTTACCTTTACTAAATATCAAATCTAGACCAAAATCATCTTCATTTTCGTTGTGCCTTGGCCGAATATAGAGAGGAGAGAAGAGAGAAAAAACTATCATCTTGTTCTTCAAATCTAAGCTCAAATCTTGAGTTCCAACCATTAGTATCTCAAATTACTCCATAGAAACTTCTTGCTAGGAAGGATTAAGGAGGTTGGTGGAGTTGTTTTGAAAAGGGAAGCACTAAACAATCATTTTTCTTTGGATTTTAAGGTATTTTGTCAAGAACTTCCTCTTTATTTCAATTAATTGTTAATTAGTGGTTTATAGTTGTTATAGATGTTGTTTGTATGGAATATTTCATGGTTTGACCTAGAGTTATGTTAAATTTCAGTTTTATGGTGTAATTTCTGCTCACATGAGAAGTGTAATGGTTGGTCATGATTTACTAGCTTTGATGTATGGAAAATCTTGTGTTTAGGTGCTAGTTTACTTAGCCTAAAGAAATTTGTGGTTGGTTTGCATAAATTCCTGCTTAGGGTTTTCATTTGGTAGGAATCTACCCTGTTCTGACTAGTTTCATTTGGCCATGATGGAGGCCAAATTGGGCTTATCTTTTAACATGAAAGTTGTAGGAAATGATGTTTTATAACTGGCTGTAAAATTTCAGCTCAATCCGAGCACCGTAGCTTGTGAAATGACCGAAATACCCTTGACTGCCAACAAGCCTTGTTTCACGGACAATTTTCTGTCCTCACTGAAATTTCAATTTTTGACCATGAAAATGCATGATTTGGCTTTGGAGGTCTTCATACATAAGAAATGTAGGTATATGACTTGGCTTCGAAATGCCATAAGATACGTTTCAATCCGATAAGTGTAGTTTCAGTTGTGGTTGTTGTGCCGAAAGGTGTGTTTTATAGTCTATGACTTATATCTGGTTGATTTGACATGAATTGGTGTTGATTGTAGGATGAAAAAGTAAGAAAATGTAGGGGAAACGCTGTCCAAATTTTGGGAATGTTGGATTTCTTCGAGTTTGGTTTGGTTTGGGATATATATATAAGAAGGGCTTTTGAGATTGTTCGAGCCATAGGTCTTTATGTTACCTTTTCATCCCAAAATCATGCTTTGCCCCCTTGTATTAGTAATTATTTGGTGAGGTCTGCGACTTGTAGTCAAGCCTCATTTGTGCATTGTATTTACTGGATTTGTGGCTGTGGGAACCATAATTGTTTACCTTGGTTATTCTAGGGTTTCTTGATGATTAGAGCCCTACTTTGGTTGAAATTTTTGAAGTATCCTTGCTTTAACTGGTGAGTGTACCACTCCCCTGAATTATTGCTTAACTGGTTATCTGTACTTGCAAATTGCTATTTGAATGTCTTTACCGACTGTTTATTTTGTATGAGACGAGGGTGTACTTTATCACACTCGTTTCTCTTGCTTCTCTACTAGTTCCTGTATCAATTTGAACTTGTTATCTGAGCCTGTTATGATGTCGTTTGGAAGTGTATCCAACGACCTACCTGTTAAACCTGAGCTCAACCTCATGGGGAGTCAATTGAATCGAGCCAGCAAGTACTTAGTCGAGGAAATTAACTATCCATGGGTGCCTGATCTTGGGAAATGTTTGGGTATTGGAGACTCTGGATTTCCGGTATCCTCGAGTACTACCATTCCTGTTTCTGTTTGGCATTCGGACCCGGTAAGGGGTATGCTTGGTGAACGGAATTTTGGCTCAAGCGGGGTCTACGGACATGAGTGTTTCATTAAATGTTGACAAAGGGTCAACGAGACTGGATCAAGTATTGCAACGGGGATTTGGCTCCTTAGAACCACCTGTATCCTTTAAATTGTGGTGTTCTTTCATTTCTCTTATTCGATGTGTATATGTTTCCTAAAAGTGTTTTCTCATGTTTTCTACTGTTTATACTTTTGGTACCTCATTGAGCTTCTAACTCAACCCGCTCCGTTATCCTTGTTTTCCATACAGGGAACAATCTTTTGGAATTTCGATGTTTTGAAAAATGAGTTGAGCTAGTTAGAAATTCTTTTGTTATTTTGGTATAACTCCTCGACAATTTGGAAACCCTAAATGTATCTTAATACAAAGTGTCCTTTGGATTTGTAAACTGAATAATATGTATATTAGAAAGAGTTTCCTCATGTTTATGTTGCATATGTATTTGGGAATGTACATTCTCTCATGTTAGACAAAGTTCACTTGTTTTTGGATGGAGTTTGGACGAGTGCGAAGGTTGATCGAGGAAAGTAGAAATTTTTGGAGGTTACTGTTCACAGAATCTGGCCGAGTATCCGGCTAGTTCTTACCCGGATATCTGGCCGGATATGCAGGGAAAATTTCAAAATTTTTGGGTTGAGCTACTGCCTCCAATCCGGCTAGGAATCCGGCCGGATTGTGATGTGGTAGTCACTGTTCATCCGCGGCTTGTTTTTGTTCTTCGTTTCATTTTTTTAACGGTCGTTGTAGCGCTCGAACACTGTATTATCTTTCGGAATAAGTATTTCAGGGTGTGTTTAGCTTAGTGGTCTTGGCGGCACTTCCATTTCGTTTTGATATTTTTTTTCGTGGGAACGTTGTACCAAAGATTGATTGTATCTTTTAGTTCGGGTCAATTGGGTTCTGAATGTTTCTCTTCTCGAAGTTCCTTTGAGCGTTTGCTAGGGTTTCCGTTTGTTCCAGATTCGTAGACCCGGCAAGAGTTGGGCAGGCGGTCCGTCGAATCCTTTGGTTCGCCTTAGGGTGAGGTGGGGCTGTCACAGGTGGTATCAGAGCTGCTTCGTGTGGTCTCGGCGCAGAGTGAGCTTGGGGCCAAGTGGTGTTGTGGTCTCGCTCATGTGAACGAGTGTACGGGACTAAGTACTTTTTGAGCATAAGTTATGAATCACAGTGTATTATATGTTTCAAAACATTATTCTGGCACTTGGAGACTATAGATACGTATGTCAGGTAGGAGTTACAAATGTAGATGATTGCTCTTGGGACTGGCCAGCTCGAGTGGTGAATTATCTTATTTTGGATTCTTGTACCCGAATACGAAAAGGGATGAAAGCCTAGGTTAGAAATGACTTGGACGAATTAGAAATCTAATTCTACGGAATTTTATATGATGTGTGGAGGATTAAACCTGCCTAAGAGATAAATTGAAATTTCTTGTAGATTACGGATGGAACCCTAAGGGGGGGGAAGTTTTTCGTTAGTTGCTTTTGTACTCTTGGTCTAGTTCGTAGTACGTACTATTGAATGACCCCCTTACTTCCATAGGATTTCCTTTGCTTGTATCTGACTGACTGTTACTGTGTGATTTGTTTGATATAGTCGTGTTATATGTATATTTGCTTTTGAATTGATGTGGACGTATTATATGTATATCTGACTGACTGACCTTACTAGTTTGTATATTGTATTCGCGCCTCGACCCTAGATTAGTTAATCCAATGGAAGGAACTCGTAGTGGACGAGGCCGTGGACGTAGGTAACCCTCGAATGAAGGGGAAAATCGGGAACCAATGCCCGAACCCAATCCTGAACCTGGAGTGGATCCTAACGTTTAGGTAGCTGCAGCTATCCAGCACATGACTGAACTTTTAACTCACGTAGTAGAGCATTAGGGCCAAAACCCTATTCCTCAACCGGAAAACCCTAGTAACCATATAGTGGGTGAAAATAGGGCTCTCGAACGATTTCAAAAATTCTCCCACCGAAATTCCTTGGAGGACCAGACCCTGATATGGCCGAGCGGTGGCTAGAGAAGATGATTGATATTTTTGTGGCGTTGCACTATACTGAGGAAAGACAAGTGACATTTGCTATCTTCCAACTGGAGGGAGCAGCCCGTTCTTGGTGGAATGTAATAAGATTGAAATGGGAGAGAGAACAAACACCGAGCACTTGGGTGAATTTTTTGAGAAAGTTCAACACAAAGTACTTCCCACCTCTAATTCAAGAAAATAAAGAAGATGAGTTCATTAGGTTTCACCATGGAGCTCAGACTGTTGCCGAATATGAGAGCCAGTTCACCAGGTTGTCTAAATTCGCTCTCGAGCTAATTGTAACTGAGCAAAGGAGGATAAGGCATTTTGTCCAGCGCTTAAATGTGGAGATTCAGAAGGATCCGGCTGTAGCCCAACTGAGTGCCTTCAGTGTCGCGGTGGAAAAAGCTCAACGAGTTGAAAGCGCAAGGTTAAAAGTTAGAACCTTTCAGGCAAGGAAAAGAGCTATTCCTGAAAGTAACGTAGGACAAGAGGATACGAGCACACCTCCCAAGCTCAAAAAGGAAACTGGAGGGGTAAGATTTCCTGGAATGTCTAGTGGTGCTTGACAGAGAGGCTCGGGCTCTGCTTCCCATAGTCCCTGTGGGTACTGTGGAAAGCCGAATCACACGGAAGATGTCTGTTGGAAGAAAGGAAAAAATGTTTATATTGCGGGAGTGCAGATCATCAAATCGCTAATTGCCCAGGCCGATCTTGAGAAGGGAGTGGGGATCGACAATCAACCAAGACCAACTCTAACCAGTCGAAGGGGGAAGGGACTGGACCGAAGGTGTCGGCTTTGGTGTATTCCCTAGAATCACATCAAGCCCCTGACCCGTCTGAGGACGTAGAAGGTGCGATCCTCCATTTACGTTAGATTTTGATAGATCCCGTTCATAAGAAAATTTCGAGGACGAAATTTCTTTAAGTAGGAGAGAGTATGAGGACCCGTAAATTTTCTTTATTTTATAATATTTTATTTCATTTTATCGCATGCATTTTCTTCATTTAACCCTATGATAGTGATTTTCCAGAGATTTTTGTAAGTGAGTATAGGTTTTACATCATTTTCATAGTATAAGTTAGTTCGTGATAAGTTTGAAGTGCGTTGTAGACGTCGGACCCGCTAGTGCGCTAAGTGAGATAAAATTTTGACGACTAGGTTAAGTTTCGTATTGAGGGATATTATTTTACAAGGTACTAGGGGATGATTAGAGGTTAGTTATCTAGGTTAAGCTTGGTAGACAAAGGGATAAGAATAAACTGAAGAAAGGCCAAGTGTCATGAAACCATTGGATGGAAATTTTGACCAAATTTCTTTACCTTTACTAAATATCAAATCTAGACCAAAATCATCTTCATTTTCGTTGTGCCTTGGCGAATATAGAGAGGAGAGAAGAGAGAAAAAACTATCATCTTGTTCTTCAAATCTAAGCTCAAATCTTGAGTTCCAACCATTAGTATCTCAAATTACTCCATAGAAACTTCTTGCTAGGAAGGATTAAGGAGGTTGGTGGAGTTGTTTTGAAAAGGGAAGCACTAAACAATCATTTTTCTTTGGATTTTAAGGTATTTTGTCAAGAACTTCCTCTTTATTTCAATTAATTGTTAATTAGTGGTTTATAGTTGTTATAGATGTTGTTTGTATGGAATATTTCATGGTTTGACCTAGAGTTATGTTAAATTTCAGTTTTATGGTGTAATTTCTGCTCACATGAGAAGTGTAATGGTTGGTCATGATTTACTAGCTTTGATGTATGGAAAATCTTGTGTTTAGGTGCTAGTTTACTTAGCCTAAAGAAATTTGTGGTTGGTTTGCATAAATTCCTGCTTAGGGTTTTCATTTGGTAGGAATCTACCCTGTTCTGACTAGTTTCATTTGGCCATGATGGAGGCCAAATTGGGCTTATCTTTTAACATGAAAGTTGTAGGAAATGATGTTTTATAACTGGCTGTAAAATTTCAGCTCAATCCGAGCACCGTAGCTTGTGAAATGACCGAAATACCCTTGACTGCCAACAAGCCTTGTTTCACGGACAATTTTCTGTCCTCACTGAAATTTCAATTTTTGACCATGAAAATGCATGATTTGGCTTTGGAGGTCTTCATACATAAGAAATGTAGGTATATGACTTGGCTTCGAAATGCCATAAGATACGTTTCAATCCGATAAGTGTAGTTTCAGTTGTGGTTGTTGTGCCGAAAGGTGTGTTTTATAGTCTATGACTTATATCTGGTTGATTTGACATGAATTGGTGTTGATTGTAGGATGAAAAAGTAAGAAAATGTAGGGGAAACGCTGTCCAAATTTTGGGAATGTTGGATTTCTTCGAGTTTGGTTTGGTTTGGGATATATATATATAGAAGGGCTTTTGAGATTGTTCGAGCCATAGGTCTTTATGTTACCTTTTCATCCCAAAATCATGCTTTGCCCCCTTGTATTAGTAATTATTTGGTGAGGTCTGCGACTTGTAGTCAAGCCTCATTTGTGCATTGTATTTACTGGATTTGTGGCTGTGGGAACCATAATTGTTTACCTTGGTTATTCTAGGGTTTCTTGATGATTAGAGCCCTACTTTGGTTGAAATTTTTGAAGTATCCTTGCTTTAACTGGTGAGTGTACCACTCCCCTGAATTATTGCTTAACTGGTTATCTGTACTTGCAAATTGCTATTTGAATGTCTTTACCGACTGTTTATTTTGTATGAGACGAGGGTGTACTTTATCACACTCGTTTCTCTTGCTTCTCTACTAGTTCCTGTATCAATTTGAACTTGTTATCTGAGCCTGTTATGATGTCGTTTGGAAGTGTATCCAACGACCTACCTGTTAAACCTGAGCTCAACCTCATGGGGAGTCAATTGAATCGAGCCAGCAAGTACTTAGTCGAGGAAATTAACTATCCATGGGTGCCTGATCTTGGGAAATGTTTGGGTATTGGAGACTCTGGATTTCCGGTATCCTCGAGTACTACCATTCCTGTTTCTGTTTGGCATTCGGACCCGGTAAGGGTATGCTTGGTGAACGGAATTTTGGCTCAAGCGGGGTCTACGGACATGAGTGTTTCATTAAATGTTGACAAAGGGTCAACGAGACTGGATCAAGTATTGCAACGGGGATTTGGCTCCTTAGAACCACCTGTATCCTTTAAATTGTGGTGTTCTTTCATTTCTCTTATTCGATGTGTATATGTTTCCTAAAAGTGTTTTCTCATGTTTTCTACTGTTTATACTTTTGGTACCTCATTGAGCTTCTAACTCAACCCGCTCCGTTATCCTTGTTTTCCATACAGGGAACAATCTTTTGGAATTTCGATGTTTTGAAAAATGAGTTGAGCTAGTTAGAAATTCTTTTGTTATTTTGGTATAACTCCTCGACAATTTGGAAACCCTAAATGTATCTTAATACAAAGTGTCCTTTGGATTTGTAAACTGAATAATATGTATATTAGAAAGAGTTTCCTCATGTTTATGTTGCATATGTATTTGGGAATGTACATTCTCTCATGTTAGACAAAGTTCACTTGTTTTTGGATGGAGTTTGGACGAGTGCGAAGGTTGATCGAGGAAAGTAGAAATTTTTGGAGGTTACTGTTCACAGAATCTGGCCGAGTATCCGGCTAGTTCTTACCCGGATATCTGGCCGGATATGCAGGGAAAATTTCAAAATTTTTGGGTTGAGCTACTGCCTCCAATCCGGCTAGGAATCCGGCCGGATTGTGATGTGGTAGTCACTGTTCATCCGCGGCTTGTTTTTGTTCTTCGTTTCATTTTTTTTAACGGTCGTTGTAGCGCTCGAACACTGTATTATCTTTCGGAATAAGTATTTCAGGGTGTGTTTAGCTTAGTGGTCTTGGCGGCACTTCCATTTCGTTTTGATATTTTTTTTCGTGGGAACGTTGTACCAAAGATTGATTGTATCTTTTAGTTCGGGTCAATTGGGTTCTGAATGTTTCTCTTCTCGAAGTTCCTTTGAGCGTTTGCTAGGGTTTCCGTTTGTTCCAGATTCGTAGACCCGGCAAGAGTTGGGCAGGCGGTCCGTCGAATCCTTTGGTTCGCCTTAGGGTGAGGTGGGGCTGTCACAGGTGGTATCAGAGCTGCTTCGTGTGGTCTCGGCGCAGAGTGAGCTTGGGGCCAAGTGGTGTTGTGGTCTCGCTCATGTGAACGAGTGTACGGGACTAAGTACTTTTTGAGCATAAGTTATGAATCACAGTGTATTATATGTTTCAAAACATTATTCTGGCACTTGGAGACTATAGATACGTATGTCAGGTAGGAGTTACAAATGTAGATGATTGCTCTTGGGACTGGCCAGCTCGAGTGGTGAATTATCTTATTTTGGATTCTTGTACCCGAATACGAAAAGGGATGAAAGCCTAGGTTAGAAATGACTTGGACGAATTAGAAATCTAATTCTACGGAATTTTATATGATGTGTGGAGGATTCCAAACAAGTGTCAACCCAATCTCGCAATCCTTAACACCTGAACTTTTCACTCACAAATCGGACCCTATAACATCCAAACCCGTTTTTCCAAACCTCTCTCTTGAAGCAAACATTAATACCAATAACCCGATCTCATTTGATCTATTCTTAGTCGATGCAACTCTACTACAGCAGAAGAAAACCATTGACCTCCAGGAGCTTGGCTCTATTGCTAGTTCAGTTGGACAGAGGAAAAGCAAAACCCCCTGTAAACCTTTGAACTCATACCCCTCACAGGTGTCAGGAGATAGGTCTCTGTCTGGTCATAAAGTTAAACGGAGTGACAAAAATACAGGACCAACTAATATGGACATAGAGGATGCCATAGACTCTAAGAGATGCAAGTTTTAGCAGACTTGGTTACTTTTACTTCTACAAAAGATAAAACAGCGGAGACTGGTACCCAGTCTCGCCGAGAACCATGAATCTACTAAGTTGGAACTGTCGGGGGTTAGATAACTCCCGTACAGTTCAAGAACTTCGGAATATCGTCCGGAGATAAAAAATTGCTATTGTTTTTCTTTTAGAAACTAAATGTTCTTGTAGGGTTGTGGACAAGTTGAAGACACAATTTGGATGGTTTGGTATGGGAGTGGATGCTAAGGGCTTCTCTGGTGGCCTAGCTCTATTATGGAAAAAAGACATAGATATATCATTGAATTGGTTCTCCAGTAGCTTCATTGATGTCACTGTATATAGAAATGGCTCCCCTTGGCGTCTTACTGGTTTTTATGGTCATCCTAAAGTTGCCAAAAGGAAATCTTCATGGGATTTATTGGGCACTCTTAGTAGTCAATCTGCACTCCCATGGGTTTGTATGGGTGACTATAATGAAGTGCTCAATCAATGTGAATTTCAGAGCAATGGTCTACAACAGAATTGGCAGATTATGGCTTTTTGAAAAGCATTAGTGGATTGTCACCTTTATGACTTGGGGTATAAGGGGTTTCAATTCACTTGGTGTCATAGTCAAAATTCACCGAATAGAATCCGGGCCAGGTTAGATCGTGCATGCGCTACTCAAGAAGATATTGACTTGTTCCATGGAGTACAAGTATCTCATGTTCATTCTTTATACTCAGAT